CCCCAAAACCCCAAAACCCCAAAACCCCAAAACCCCTCAGTGTTCAATTTAAATTGAATTTTGGATACTAAATCATGCAACATTAAATGAGAGATATAAAATTCTTAAAGATATAAAGCATAGTTTTAAGGAAGAAAGAACAAACAGCAATATTCCAATCCTCCCATACAGTTCAAACACCCAACTTTCCTATAACTCTCATTCTCTTCCAAAACTACGCCTCTGTGCCAATTATCTAGTCAAAAACCACCAAGGTGAGAACAATTTCAAGCTTCTTACCACTCTTTCCACTTCATAATCTTCCACAAAAGTTGTTTTGTGCATAACAGTAAGATATTCTTCCCAGCTGATTGTTCCGCATTCGTCCTCTATAGAACATCGGTGATCGATTGTAAAGAATTTAAATGGTAAAGAGACGGGGCTATAGAAATAATAGGTGAAATTGGGATAGATATTTGTGTATATAGAGTTATAGTCAGCCTGACAAAGAGTTAAAGCAGATTTTGTTCATAGAACACCTAACTTTCCAACTCTCGCTTCAAATTGCTCTTCCTATCTCTAAACTCTCTTAAGATCCTCTACCTCTAACTTCCTTCACAAATTCTTGAAATCCTTCATTATTCTTAACTTCTTCCAATCTGGGGTCACCCAGATTGGCAAGAGAGAAGTAAGTAATGAACCTGATCTACAGAAATATTAAAGGGAATTTAGAGTACCGCTTTTTCAAGAGTTTTTGATTGGGGCTTGGAAACGAGGCTTTGTTTGTAGGACTTGAGGGCTTTGAGGCGGTAGCGGTCTTCGAGAGAGAGGAGGAGGGATTCTAGTTCGGATTGGTGGGAGTACATCTCGTCTCGGGTGTTAGTGATACTTGAGAAGGAGTAATTGGGGTCGTAAAGGCAGGATTCGGAGAGGAGACGTTTTGATAGCATGATTTTATTTGAGATCAGAGGTGAAGGGTTTGATGATGAGGGTGTAGAGAGGGGCGAGATGAGGGAAGATTTGCGGGTCTGAGAGTAAGTCAGATGGGAAAGGGTAATCTCATTGGATTCTGTACTTGTATTCAAGAGCTATCTGGGAATTATGATCTAGAGTAAGAGCGAAGTCTCGAAATAGCTGTCCAAGAACTCCGGGAGATTCGATAACTGTACTTTTGAGCAAGCTTCTTTTGTAGCTCATGAAGTCAACATTGTATCTATTGTTTCCTAAGATTTCACCAAAATGAACAATGTCAAACATTTCACCATGCTTTTGGTAATCTACAGCTTTAGAATGCATGTGAGCTAGATCTAAACATGTTCTTTCTTTGATTTTGTTCCGATGAGAGTTAGCTACTTTTCAGTGCAAATTAGCTACCTCTCCAAGCTTATCATTTTGAATAAAGTCAATAAAGTGATCAATATATTTCTCTCTTTGTGTCTTGTCAAATCTTAAAGAATAACCTTTTATTGGTGACATATCTTCGTCAGAACTTGTTGTATCATCAAAATATGGTTTTACATTTGTCAATCATGAATTCTCACTTATTTTATAAGCTTTCTCAGAGATCCATGTGTCCTTTCTCTCTTCCAGTGGTTGATGGGGTGGGCTTTCTGTGAAATTTTGTACAAATTCCTCTCTCCAGTTGACCCAATAAATATCACCATCAAGATCTCCAGAGGCCATCTTCTCTTGATCTGGTCGATCCCCTTTAGTCGAGAAGATGACCACATTGACATAGTGCTTCAGAGGTTCTTTAAAGACAGCTTTAAGCTTTCTGATATCTCCGGGATGGACACATGGGCTTCGAGTTACTAAGACTTCTCCTTCAACAATTTTCTTAATTTTAGCACTGGGATCAATAAATTTTAAAGGTGAGCCACCTTTAGAGTTCTTCAGTAGGACATCTCGGTCATATTGCACGAATATCTCTCCTTCGTCAAGGCAGCCTGCCGGATCAATGACTCCTATAAGAACTCAGGACTTCTCATCAAAGATTCTGAATCTGGCACGTACTTCATCTAACTTGTTGTAGCAGATACCTCTGATTAAGGGATGGATAAAAGGATCAGATGATAAATCAATGAGTGAGTTTTGTAAAGATTCCCTTTGAGAATTATCTCCTTTTACTTCTTCAAGCTGTTCAAGCTGTCTTTGAACTTTCAGATTTGATCGAAGCACCTTACCAATCTTTGTGTTGATATGTCTTACAGAATTCGAATAGCTTTTAACCAAGCTGAAATCTGAGCCTGAATCTAGAGCCTTTATTTCTTCTAGTAAAGAATCAGTGTAGTCCCTTTGCATCTTGATAAATATTTCAGAGTCGACACCTCCAGCCCATAATATTGTGATTATTTGTTTGTTGAGATATCCATATGAGTAAGTTGCTCCTCTAATAATCTCTAAGTCCACTTCTGTATCTTCAGAGTTCAGTTCAAACTTGTTCATCGAAGGTCTCACTTTCACTTTATAATCTTCTGTGAAGTTTTTGGAACTGAGCAGGACTCCTTTGTACCCTCCCATTCTTATTTGGAATGCATCTAGTGAAAGAAGACCGAAATATTTATGTGAGATTTCACGAGCTAATTCTGCATGTATCTCTCCACATCCGTCAGAGAAGACATACGGACCTTTCTGTATATCATCAATTTGCTGGATTTCTGAATCTATGTTTAAAGTCTTGACTTTGATTGCACTACTGAAAGCTTGACCTTTCCTTGCAGCACGCTTGGAGAGAATCGTTTCTGAATCAAATCATCCAAGTGATTCCATTACATCATCATACTGAAGTTCCTTTGTCTCGTTGATGAACCAACAAGAGTGAGCTTTCATTTGGGAATTAGAGTAGTGGAGGAACTTGAAGGTCTTATCTGCAATGACAAATCCCTTTACCATGATTTCTTCAATGTGCTTGAGAATAGGAGCTAGAGTAAGAGGTTAAAGCTTACTGTTAAAATCTAAGCTAAATTTTCCTGTGGATCTATCATCATTCTGGAAAGACACTCTCATAAAGTTCTCCTCGTTGTCTAAAAATTTCCTGATCACCCTATTTGGTCTGCTTAAAGTAGGGAAGTAGTACTCGATCCTCGAAGGAGTAACAATGACTCTTCTAACTGAGATGAGTCCTCTCAAGTTTTCTGTATCTTTAGACTCACTCAGGTTTTTATCTACAAGAAGTTTCACAGAATCATAGAAGGAGACTTTGCTTCCCTTATACATTTGAAGTGCTTTATTGATGCAATAGATCTGTGATGGATCATCTTCTCAAGTATCTAAAAGATATGCCAGCCCTTTCTCGAGATCTTCAATTGAAAAGTCCAAGAATCTTATGATTTTCAAACTGAAAAGTCAAACTATGGAGTAGTGCACTGAAAAAGGCATTTTGCTTAGCACCTTTCTAATTCTTTGCATCCCAATGAAGAAGTTATTTCTCATTAGAGTTTCCTTTTTAGGAGGAAGGGAAAAGAATCTCGTCTTCAGAGAGTTTCGGATCGGTCCAAATTCTTGCTGAAATTCATCATCAAATTTACAGTCGTAGATTCCGCAAATTCTGAACATAAGTTGGCCATTGAGACACTGCTCCAAAGGATCATCACTCCATAGTTTGCTCTTTACTGTTTTCATCTTACGAGAGCAATAGCTTTCAGTAGACTTGACTGTGGGAAGATACGCGACTGTAAAGTAAAACTCAGAGTACTTGGAATCTTCAAATTGCTGAGTGCTAATATGTCTGAGCGAATTAGGAGGAAACTCAAGGATTCATTCTTCTGAATCGTATTCACAATCATTAGTTTTCAGGACTAATTTCAAGCAATCAAGCACTTTCTCATCTTGCTTTTTGTCAATGAAGCTATATCGTAGAAGGAATTTTCCAAGCTCATAATCACACTGAAATTTGAGAGGGTCTCTTAAGGCATCAAAGAGAGGAAGAAATAGAATGCTTTCTTCAGTATCTTCTTCTCATTCAGGAACTTCCTTCTTGAGCGTAACTTTCTTCTGAAGGCCCCATTCAAAACTTAGTATTGTCTTGAATAGACTGTATTCTAAAAATCTTGCATTTGTAAAAACTCTATTACTCATTTTTAACAATTTATTATAGCTTAAAAGGGGTTTTGGGGTTTTGGGGTTTTGGGG